ACTTTCCAGCTGTGCTAAAAACCTGACTCCTTCCTGTCTGTGTGGGGGGCCCTGCGACCACATCTGAGCAAGTCAACCCCGACCACCGCACAGCCAGCTCCCCCCTCGGACCCTGCTCTTTCACTGCCCGGTTGGTGCAGGTCTGTGGGGTGCGGGACAGGTGGGGTCTGCCTCCTGCCAGAGAACCCTCCCTGAGGACGCAGAGCCGTGCCTGGGCGGTGAGCAGCCGCCATACCGCCTCCACACACGGGGCCCAGGACCCCCTGCATCTGAGTGTCACCCCTGTTTGATCTGTGTCCGAGGTGGGGTCCGATGTGTCCCTGGACTGCCTGAGCCCCAGACCAAAGTCTCGTACCTGCAGTGATGTTGCAGAGGGGGACACCCCCGCACCCCAGCAGATCCGTGTCCACGTTATCTGCATGGCTTCGCTGCAGGGCCTGTTTCTGGGTCAGGAAGCCAGGCCCTGTGTGCAGCTGCTGACAGCACCTGCCTGCCCCTGGTCTTCCCTCCATCTCCGAGAATGACTGGGTCCCCTCATGTTCACCAGTAACCCGGCCGGGCAGTGCGCAGGCCGCTTGCAGCACACAGGGCCCTACAGATGAACAGTTCAGAGCTCATCCTGTGGATGAGTGGGTGGCAAGCCGGGTTCACCCTCACTCAATGCTGGTGGGAGAGCAAATTGCCGAAGTCACCGCACAGAGTCCCGCTCCCCAGGGAAGGGGCAGCATGGTCACCGCGCTGCGGTGCAGTGTCTTCCTGTGGGGAAGTCATCCAAGCGGGGCTGAGATCCTCGGTGGCGGCTACATCTTGGGAGCTGTGAAGGCCCTGGCCAGGGTCACAGCCTCCAGCTGTAACAGCCATGGAGTGGACCCGACACGCCCAGTGTGGAGAAACAGGACTGGCCACCAACACCTGGGACACACAGCACAACTCAGCTTGCCTCTGTGCTGCAGGGTCCTAGATCTGACCCCCCGGCACAGCCTGGCCCCTACCCGCGTAAACACAGACTTCCAGGCCAGGGAGGAGGGGGCCAGCTTCAAGGGAGGGCAGAGCCAGGAGGGAACATGGCACAATTTGGGGCCTATGGGCATGAGCAGGGGAGGAAGCCAGTCTGTGTGAGGAAGTGAACGTGGCCGGAGCAGAGGGGCTGTGGCCTGTGGGCAGGGGGGGGCGTGCCTGTCCATTCACGAGCTCCCTGTGGACAGCTTCTGTGTCCTAAGTCCTTCGAGTGTGTGAACCTGGGATGCACACCGGAGGCAATGTTGGTGATCGCTGCACAGCCACTGGAAAGAGGTCAGCTGTGAGCTAACCCAGGGCTGCGTAAGGTTGCCATGCAATGGGCTGGGGCAGTAGCACACGCCTGCGGTCCCTGCACTCAGCAGGCAGGGATGGAGGATGGCGGAGCCCCAGGGCAGCCTAGGACCGCACACACACACACAGCCCCCACAAGGCAGGACGATGTCCGTGTGTGCTCCCTCAGCAGCACCTGGCATCCACGTGCCCCGCTGCAGCCCTTGCTGCCCTCCAGGAGGACCCCACACCCAGCTGGGGCTCCCTGGACAAAGACATCTGGACAGACAGAAATCTGGTGTCCAGCTTGAGCACAGGTCCCAAGCCGGTTTGGTGGGCACCCCCTGCCCCGCTGGGGGCCGCCCCGGCCTCTGCCGGCCGGGCGCCCTGGGAAGCCTGTGCCCGCTCCGGCCGCAGGTCAACTGCCGGTCAGGGGCTGGTCCTGCTGGGACAGGTGCCTACAGCCTCTGCGTTCCTGAGGCCAGGCCGCCCTCCCGTGGCTGGCCGCGGAACTGCATGAGCCCGAGCGCTGGCAGCCCTGGCTTTATCCCATCCTGCGCTTCTCAGAAGAGGGCCTCCCCTCCCGACAAGTTCCCGAGGTATTAACTGCTTCTCTGGGGTATTCCAGAAACTGGCAGTTGGCCGCAAAGCTGACAGGAAGCTTGACAATGCTGCCCTCGATAGAAAAGAAAGCCCTCCCCATGACCATCCCTGCTTTTGATCTCCAGCCGTGACCCTGATCTGGTCCTTGTGTAAACACCCCACGTACCCCAGAACTGAAGCAGGCCTCAAGCCAGAAGTCCTCTGGGGGTGGCCAACGCCCTCAATAAAGTCTGTCCCCCCAAGACTCATCTGTCACGTAAGAGCTTTTCTAGGGTATGAGTTCAGGGCATTAGTTCATAACGAATATGCAAATATGCTGTGAGCTATAAAGACTTAAAAAATTAGTTTAAAATCATTTTTCTGTGAGTATGGGGTCTTGAACTCAGAGCCTGAGCACTGTCCCTTAGCTTTCTTGTTCAAGGCTGGCATTCCACCAACTGTCTTGGGGATTAATTGGAAATAAGAGTCACTGTAGCTGGCTTCAGACCCTCATCTTCAGATCTCGGTCCCCTGAGCAGCTGGGATTATAGGCATGTGCCACTGGTGTCTGTTGAGAAATTAGTTTAAAGCTGGGAAGGTTGTAGCCCAATACAATCTCTCCTCTTAATTTTCCACATTCTCAAACACATTCACTTAGACCTGTGACGGAAGGAATCTGTGGTGTTTTGCTGCCTGTATCAGAGCACCTGGGAGTGAACATCTATTTCTTGATATTGGTCACAGATGGCGTTGAGGCTTGGAGAGAAGAGCCCCCCGCCCCCTGCAGCCGCCACCCCGGGATGTCCTGGTCAGTGGGACTCGGTGTAGACTTTCTAGGGGAGCTGGGGAGGGGAGACACACACACAGTCAAGTTATAGCAGAGGAGAATGGGTTCAGGGGTCCTCAAGGCCTGCCTGGACCTGCTGAGCTGTGTGGTGCTGGACACAGCACGAGGCGCCAGGTTCTCTACTTCGCTGGTGCAGTCCCTTGCGCAGCCCTGCCGGGTGCGATTAGCAGCCGCTTCAGGGCAAGGGCCTTTCCAGGGCAGACAGGACTGGGGGTGAGGGAGGTGACACCTCAGGGACTCTGGCTGGTGCCCCCAAAGGCTTCTCCAGACAGGTACACATGCCAAGGTCATGGTCCCTTCTGTCTCCTCCCTTGAGCATTGCCTCTCCTCCATCCTCACTTCAGCCCTGGGCTCCACATCGAGGCTCAACCTGAGATCTCTACCTCCAGCTCTACTTCCAGAGACTTGCAATGAGTCTCAGGGCTGAGCGGAGACTCGGGCCAAAGGCAGACTCCCCTGCAGGTAGTAAGTGGAGGCCAGGCCAGGCCCTGCCCGGGCCAACCGTTTCCACACTGCTACCAATCACGTGCACAGGAGGATGAAGAGGCCTCCTGAGCCCACCGGGAAGACAGAGCAGGGAAAGCGGCTGTGGCCCGGTATGTAGCCAGGAGGTGTGGTCCACTTCCCGTCCTGAATTTGGGCCTGGGCGATGAGTTCATCAGGGAAGACTTCTCCGTGTGGAGCAACCGAGTGACCATTTTTATCTGCAGTGACAAAAACTGCAGAATTGGTGTGGAAAGTCCCTCTCAGGAGGGCTCGAGCCTGGGGCCTCACACAGCCCTGCGTCCCGGCCCCCCGCAGGCTTCCCAGGAAGGAACTGCAGTTCAGCCCGCCCACCCTCTCTCCCTTCTTTTTTCTTTCTTCCTTTCTCGCCTTTCTTCTCACCACCTGGTTATTTTGGAGACTGCCCAGGCTAATTTCAAACTAAGATCTCCCTATTTCAGCCTCCTTAGTAGATGGAATTTGAGGCATAAACCACCAGTACCTAGCAGTCTTCAGGTTTCATAGAGTGCCATGACTTTGGTGGGGTTTTTTGTTTTTTTGTTTTTTTTTTTTTTGGTTGGTCATGGGGCTTGAACTTGGGGCCTGGGCGCTGTCCCTCAGCTCTTCAGCTCAAGGCTAGCCCTCTACCACTTGAGCCACAGCACCACTTCTGGCTTTTTCTGCTTATGTGGTGCTGAGGAATCGAACCCAGGGCCTCATGCATGCAAGGCAAGCGCTCTACCACTGAGCCACCTTCCCAGCCCATGTTTGTGAAAAACAGTGTTTGGACTCTGGTTCATTCAACAAGTGGTGTTTATTTGTATGCAGTCATTGTGGCACCTGAGCCATTTGTTCTCACAGGTGTAAGGAGAGTTCATATCAACAGCAAGCAACAGGCGTCTGTGATGTCCACAGCTTTCCAGAGCCCCAGAGAGCAAGCAGGGAACAGAGCTCGACCCCGTCAGGTCCTCCAAAAATGTCTCTGCAGTCCAGGTCTGTGTCTCCTCACTAAAGGACACGACAAAGATTAGGAAATGGTTGTGCGGGGCGGAGGGAGGGAAGCCGCCTCCCAGGCAGGTCAGCGCTCCAGACCCACCCCTCAGAACAGCCGGTGCTGACCCCCAGGGGGGCACCAGGGCCATGTGGGGTCTGAAGAACCGCCTTTCACCGGAGAAACCCGCCGGGGTCCCTGGAGCTAGAACTGCCAGCAGGCTGTCCTGACCCTGGGCCTGTCCTGACCCGGGGCCTGTCCTGACCCTGGGCCTGTCCTGACCCTGGGCCCGTCCTGAGCCGGGGCCCGTTCTGACCCTGGGCCTGTCTGACCCTGGGCCCATCCTGAGCCGGGGCCCGTCCTGACCCTGGGCCTGTCCTGACCCTGGGCCTGTCCTGACCCGGGGCCTGTCCTGACCCGGGGCCTGTCCTGAGCCGGGGCCAGTCCTGAGCTGGGGCCTGTCCTGAGCCGGGGCCTGTCCTGACCCTGGGCCTGTCCTGACCCTGGGCCAGTCCTGAGCCGGGGCCCGTCCTGACCCTGGGCCTGTCCTGACCCTGGGCCCATCCTGAGCCGGGGCCCGTCCTGACCCTGGGCCTGTCCTGACCCTGGGCCCGTACTGACCCGGGGCCTGTCCTGACCCTGGGCCTGTCCTGACCCTGGGCCAGTCCTGAGCCGGGGCCCGTCCTGACCCTGGGCCTGTCCTGACCCTGGGCCAGTCCTGAGCTGGGGCCTGTCCTGACCCGGGGCCTGTCCTGACCGGGGGCCCGTTCTGAGCTGGGGTGTCTCCTGACACCCCTATGTGTCTGCTCAGGGAGCGGGATGGCGGGGGTGGATGCTGGCGCCCCCGTGTGGTGGATGGCGGGGGTGGATGCTGGCGCCCCCGTGTGGGGGTTGGGGGCCCGCGGCTGCACATACCAGCGGCAGGCACTGTACCAGGAACCCGGTCCGCGGCCAGCAGCGCGTGCGGCTGGACTCACCCACCTGGATGCAGCACAGGCTCCAGCACTGGTTGTGGCTGCTGCACAGGTCTCTGTCGGGCTGCGGGAAGGCTGGGTCAGGGGTCGGAGGCCAGCTCCCTGGGCTGCCCCCCGCGCCCTCCCCCGCAGCCCACCTTGCGCCAGGCCACGCACTGCAGCATGGTCTTGGTGGTGCAGAACTTGTCTGGCTGCCTGCCAGTCTGCACGCAGCAGTCGCTGTAGCAGTCCTTATGGCTGGAGCACCGATGTCCGTTGGGCTGCGGGAGTGGCCACATCAGCTCCAGATGCTGGGCCCAGGCCAGCCTCACAGTCCCCTCCCCCGCC